TATTAAAAATAAAATTATTTTTTATATAAATTAATAAAAAAATATTTTTAATATTTCCCAACAAATATTAAGAGTAAGGGAAAAAAAGAAAACCCAACATATATTAATAAAAAAGAAGCCCATGAATGTCGGATCGTTCTCTTCGTCGAAAAGCGGTTTGAAAACAAAAATCTCTTGGCGAGATCCTCCACACATGAAAAGGGGAAAACAAAAAAAAATCAGAATTAGGTGCCATGTAAACGGATAAGAATCTCCCCCTGCATTTATTACAACCCCTTTAATAATTACCTCCTAATTCTCTCTTTAATCAAAGTTTAGTTTTTAAAATTAAAAGTTGGTTAATTTAGTTTAAAAGGAAGGTGGCTCGAAGGTAACCCCCCCTCGCGTGCGGGAGAAGAAGAGAGACCGTGTGCATTTAGGACAACGGGTTTACCGGCTCCGTACATGCAAAGAGCGTGAGCGATGGCGGTTTAAGCTTGGGGAAGAAAGGGATGGGCGACCGGCAGCTGTCGGTGGTGGTGGTGGGGGGGAGAGGCCGTTAAAGGTTGAGGCAGGTTGACAGGCTGGAGTTTACAGAAAGCAGTAATGATTCGCACTCCGATTCGGCGACCGAGTTTGTCGTTTTGCGCCAGCTCGGCAATTCCGTGCTGCCGTTGGTTCTCTTCGAAATGATTTTTTGTGGATTTTTTTTTTTAAAAAAAAAGAGAAACTGAAAAAAGTTAAAGAAAAAATCACACACGCAAAATGGAGGACAGCCTGGCGTCGTCAGTCAAACTCATGCTATTTTAAAAATAAAATAAACCTCAACCGTTATCATCTACTGACTTTTCTTTTTTTTTTTTTTTTTTTTTTTGGGGAGATAGTTATCATCTCACTTTATCTCTGTGATGCTTAATTTTCGTTTTTTTCCTTTTTTTCCGTGAAATATTTATGGCACGCTGAGTTCCGTTTTGTCTCTATAACTTCCCAAACAGTGAATTATTAAACAACCACGTCCACCCTTTTGAGATGGCGCGTGTCTTTACTGTCCATATTTTTATTTTTATTTTTTTTGGGGATGAATTATTTCTACCATGTTAAGTGCATATTCCATCCTTTTTGTCATATGATTTCTAAGTGCTGGATTTAATTAGTAACTGCTTACATAAGATTAATTATTATTATTATTGTTAGTGTTTGTAATTAATATTGTATTATTTAAAATCTTCATTTATTTGATTAAACACTAATAGCCAAAACAAATTAGTATAAAACAATTATTTCACTATAAAAAATTATTACAAGCTTTATATGATAAAAATTGAAGAGTTTGAATTATAGAGTTTATCTAATCTCTACTGATTAAAGTATAATTCTTAAGAAGTGATTGTAATTCTTTTTTCTTTTTAAAATGTAAAATTGAAATAAAGTATAATATTTATACCCAAAATTAGTAAAAAGATATGGATTTAATATGAAAATTTATGTAAAGTTAATTATAAATTTTTTAATTAATAAATTTTAACTTGTGTCTTGATGGTACATATTAGACAAACTCTTATTTGATTCAATACTAATAGCTAGAACAAAACTGACAACTTATAATCTTTTTTTTTTACTTAAAATAAGAGATTTTGAATTTGAATCGCATAATATAAAAGTTAAATGAAATAAATGATGGAAGAATGTTACATTCCGTTAAGTAATCAATATAAAAAAAAAACTCAAACAAATTTGAAATTACTATAAAACAATTATTTCACTAAAAAAAAGTTATATTGTAAGCTTTATTTGATTAGATCTTAAAATTGAAGAGTTTAAATTATAAAATTTGTTTAATCTACACTAGTTAAAAAGTAATTATTAAGAAATGATTGTAATTATTTTTTCTTTATAAAGAACAAGTTTAAATTTAAAAGATAAGTTTTAATTTTTAATTCAAAATAAATTAATAAAAAATTAATGTATGATATTAACAATTAAAAGAATAGTCAACTTTCTCCTTTAAAAAAAATAAAAATAGTTATTAATCAATAATAATTACTCCTTAATGACAAAAAATAAATAACCATTAAATGATTCCTCGGCAATTTAATTTATTGATGACATCTTAATAGTATTTTCAATTGCAAAATGATTTTTAATTTGAAATCAAATTAGCCATTAAATGTATAGACGCTCCATGGGATGATTGAAAATGATTATGATGAAGGCAAGTGGGATGAACGCTCCTTGATGTGGGAGTGGGTGAAAAGCGGAAAGAAAAATAAAGCAGAAAGAAAGATATTACTAAGAGAGAGACTCATGTAAATCAGTGCATTGATATCCGACGCGTGTCCGTTGGCCAGCTGTATCGCAAAGCCCAACCGCTTACCAGGAAGGAGCGGTGCCCTCCCTCCCCCCCCCATAACGTCTCATCTCCTCCTTTACCGGCTCTCCCGGTCACCGCTCCTCCCTCTCTCTTATATATTCCACTTCCCCACGCCGAGCTATACTTAAAAACCAAATTCAAAACACGCTAGCTCCTACTCCTCCCCCCCTTTCCATGGCTGTGAATAATACAACAGCGAGCAGAAAAGAAATGGATCGGATCAAAGGTCCGTGGAGTCCTGAGGAGGATGATTTGCTCCAGAGGTTGGTCCAGAAGCACGGTCCCAGGAACTGGTCCTTGATTAGCAAATCGATTCCTGGCCGATCCGGAAAGTCGTGCAGGTTGCGCTGGTGTAACCAGCTTTCGCCGCAGGTGGAGCACCGTGCGTTTACTCCGGAAGAGGATGAGACCATAATCCGAGCACATGTGCGTTTCGGGAACAAGTGGGCGACAATCGCTCGACTTCTCAACGGCCGCACCGACAACGCCGTGAAAAACCACTGGAACTCGACTCTTAAGCGGAAGTGCTACTCGACGGGGGAGGATGGGAATTTTGGAAGCGGCGTGGGATATGATGGTAATTTGATGGGGGAGCACCAGCAGCCGTTGAAGAGATCGGTGAGCGCGGGCTCTGGTTGCCCTGTGTCCACTGGGCTGCACATGAGCCCAGGTAGCCCATCAGGGTCCGATGTGAGCGATTCTAGTGTCCCAGTTTTGTCTTCATCGCACTTGTTCAGGCCCGTGGCGAGGACCGGCGGAGTTAATGTGGATGTTAATATAACGGCGGCAGTGGAGACGACTTCTTCGTCCAACGATCCGCCTACATCACTGAGCCTGTCTCTACCCGGCGCCGACTCATCTGAGGTGTCAAACCATGCCCGAGAGTCAGCTCCAACAAATAGCACGAACTCAAATGCTAATACTAATATAAGCCCTGTTATTACCCCAACAGTCAATCAAAGCGGAGGGAGTGGGGTTTTGGGTTTCAGTGCGGAATTCATGGCGGTGATGCAAGAGATGATAAAGGTGGAGGTGAGGAACTACATGCTGCAGTTGCAGCCGCAGAAGCAGGGTGGTGGGGTTGGCGGTGGTATGTGTATGCAGTTGGGTGGTGATAGTGGGTTTAGGGATGTTATGACCATGAACCGACTGGGCATTAGTAAGATCGAGTAGCAATCTTGTTAATGGTAGAGAGAGAGAGAGTAAACCGTTGCTCTGTTTTTTCCTTCTCTTCTTGTTTAGGGAAAATAAATTTTGGCGAGTGTACAGTTAAGAGCTGGTAAAGGGGAAGGGGAAGGGGAAGGAGGGAGATGGTGTGGTTTCATGGAAGGTGAAAGAAGCTTGGAACTTTACCTGTTTCTGGCCTTGTAAGCAGAAAGCAAAGAAAATGCTAGAAAAAAAGAGAAGGAAAAATGTTTTAAAAAAATTGTGAAATTTCAATATAAGTGTCTAATCCTTTTTCTTCACATCAAAAGTTTCCAAACCGAACTTTCTTCCTTAATGTGATTGTGTAGAATTTAACATGAATTTTCACTGAGCTGAAAACAAGACCAGTTTCTGATATACAGAAATAACTCTATTGCTGACGCGGTTGGAGATGGTGGTGGTTTTTCTTTTGCATTTGTTTGAAGTTGGAACAATATGGAATGCAATCTTCTTCGGCAGCCTGCAGGGGATATGCTGAATTCTCTGCTCTCTTGTCTTGTGTAATTTTGAATGAGACGTGGTGGGTCATTACCATAAAGACAGAAAAGATAAGGGACTAGAATTGGAAATTTCATACTATTAGGTTTGGTTTCTTTCTTATCAGTTATTACTGGTCTATAACGAGGTCAACAGAAAATATCTTGGATGGATGAATGCAATCCAAACCAACAAGTTTGATAGGTGCAGGTGTTCTAGACCTAAAGATCAAATTAAAAATAAACCTAACTCTTTAGACCTTAATTGTTGAAGGTTGTTGGTCGGTGGTAAGTTAGGATGAGAACACATGGATGGTTCGGACAGAAGTGGTTGGGACGGTAGTAAGAGCAGTTAACAGTTAGAAAAGAACATTGATTTTTTGTTTTACCCTAGGCCAAACCCGATTCAGATCTGTATGAATAAAGTGATTTCGTTTTATGATGACCAACTAATAAAAAAGAAAAAAAGGGTTGTTTCAGATTTTTACAAAATGTAGAAGAGTTGTTATTCGAAGTGTAAACTGAAGTTGCAACGATCCGCTTTATACCCAGAAATTACAGAACAGAACTTGCAGGCTCTTTGCTACAAAAATAGAATAAAAAATAAAAATAAGATTGAACTAGAACCAAGAGAGCTAGCTACAAAGGTTCAACTTGGATGTTGCTTGAACTTGCATTATGACTCATTGGCGAGGTTAATCGAGATTTCGGTTTATTGATCAGGAGGCTTAAATCATGCTTCCAGGACCATGATGGGTCGTTTAGAGCGCGTATAGAATTGAGACAAACAAGAAGAGTACCTCCTTCATGTAAAAGAACCTGTACCAGGATAGACAAACATCAATAATGGTACCACAAAGATCACTCTATCAACCAATAATTTGACTAGGAAAAGGAGCAGAGAAAATTGGCAATAAATTGAAGCTACGGTCTAACAAATAAACATGCATGTTGTCTATGACATATTACTTGTATGGGTGCCTTGAACAGAATTTTTGTTGGAAGGTTGTTGGTCTGTGTTTTAATTGTGGACAACAATACGATTACCCCTAAAAATGTAGGTAAAATAATTTTAACATTCAATACGAGGACGGACACGGCACCTAAAAGGTTGGAATTTGTAACTATTGTCTTATGATGATGCCACGTAGTGTAAAATCTTTCTTCATATTGAAGGTAGTTAGCAGGCACATGATAACACCTTTCCCTAGACTCAAAGTTGATCATTTTCTTTATCAGATGCTCATCATATCGAGATGCTACAATAATGCAATGAATAACAAAATGGATTTATAAATTTCATACCGTTAACCACAGGGGAAGAAAGCCCAAGACAGACGGAAGAGATGCCACAACTATAGATGTTAAAGCAAGGGCCACATTTTGCTTGACCTGAAAGTAGAGTTCCTTAAAGAACAGTGTAAATGAGCGGAAAATCAGAGGTAGATAAGGGATGGGGACTCGAGCAAGTACCAGTGATGTTGTTTGACGGGACTTGGCTATACTGAATGGAACACCAGAAATATTGTCCCGCAACAACAGTACATCTGCAACAGCTATAGCAGTTGCACTAGCACGTTGCGCAAGAACAATCCCGACAGTTGCTGCAGCCAGAGCTGGTGCATCATTAATGCCTTCACCCACCATAATAAGTCCTCCCCCTGTCATTTCAAATGGCAGAAATCACATCTAACTTTCAGTTATGACAGTGTTAAAAATGTAGAAACATCAGATAACATGTCAGGGAATAAGATGAAACCATATATAATCTGAATGAAACCGTAACGGTAGATATTTTATTTTTTTTGAATATAAGAAGGCTCTGGCAAAAAGAGAGAAAAAATGGAACAGAATATTAATAAACCACAATTAAGAACACCTATGAGCTATGTGACGAGAAATATCCAAATTATCAGAGTGCCATTCTCATTCTATATCATTAAAGTGATTGTGCCAACAAAAAAAAAAAAAGACTCCATCATGCCTATGGAGATTACATACAGTGCTTTCATGAACATGAATAGTTGTTATTTTATGTTATTTTACTTATGATATGATGAATATTTAGAAGAAAAATAATCAGTACTCCAGTGGTTAGCTGACAATGAAAGAGGGTGGGGTGCAATGCAACAGAACAAGCTATATCTGTCTGCCATGTAAAAAGGCCACTACAGAGATAATTATGATCATCACGTCATCACATAAATGCACAATAAAAAGAAATAGTACTTTTACTTCTGAAATCCAAGACATGTAGTTATTATGTTGATAAATGATAGTCCCACAAAGCTCACCCATATCTCTTGAAATTCTTTTTACATGGTTGAGCTTATCCTCAGGCTTCAGCTTGTAGTATACTTCACTGATGCCCACCCCATTTGCAACCCTCCATGCACTCGACTCATGGTCACCAGTTAACATCATCACACGTAGTCTTGCTTGATCTTTCAATTCAGAAATAACATCTGAAATCCCTGGTCTAGGCCTATCTTCAAGGTGAATCAATGTTACCTACATAGAGCCAAGACAAAGACTCATCAATCTTATCAGAAGAAGTTCAAAATAAAGCAACTCTGTAGAAGATTAAAATCCACAAAAAATGTCTGGGGAAGAGCTGCCTATTTAAAGGGTTGATGTTCAGAAACATTATTGTCTATTTAAATTAGCTACCTTCATCATATCATTCGGAACCATAAAAGAGAAACGACTTGAAGGGTGAATGATTTTGAAGATATTGGTTATGGTGCCTTAGAAGGTATTTTGTGTGTGTATCAAAACAGTCTACACACTGACATTGTCCATCTCCTTCTAAGAACTTAATAAGAGGGGTCTGCTTCTATAAATTTCACAAGATCAAAACAAGCATAATTGACAAACATACCTTTTCATTAACAGAAAGGGCAGCATGAACAAAGTTACTCCCATAAGAAGAAGCGTTAACAGCCTCCTGGATTTTTTTTGACTCATCCTCAGACCTACATTGTGAAGTGATGAAGTCTACAGAACCAAGTGATGCCTTCAACATTTTACCGCCTCCAGTTCCTGACTATAACAAATCAGAAGCAATTGTAAGTTTACATGTAATCCAACTTACCAAAAGACACTTGAAAATAACAAGGGAAAAAATCCAAACTGTTGGTAGTGAAGTGAAAGGTTATTTATCTTTGGCTGTTGCCATGATATTAAATGATCACCAACGGTAAGACAAATGTAAGAAAATAACATATTACCTCAGTGCTATTAAGAGTAGCAATAAGACCTCTACCAGGAAAATACTCAAAGCTTTCAACTGAAACAGAAGGAAGGTCTTTCCCTACGCTGTGGTCTACTACTGCTCTGCAACAAATAGAAGAGCTAGTAAGTAATTTGGCAAGAAGGATAAAAATACTTCATAACACCCAATAGAAATGAAAAAAATGATCAATGAATCACAACAGCACTAGAAGCTTTATTTTACACCAACAGGAACTTATTATGCTAACAGTCATTGAACAGATTGTAACAGGAAAAAAAATTTCTGTTTGACGACAATACCTTCCAATAGGATGAGTTGTACCCTTCTCCATGGCAGCTGCTACAGCAAGAGCTTCTTTTTCACAACTGGGAATGCAACAGGAGGAGAAACTTGTTTTCTTGTTTCCAATCCAATGCCCATAAATTGGTTCAATTGCTTTGAATGTAAGTCCCCCAGTAGTCAGTGTCCCAGTTTTATCAAATGCAATAGTGTGGCATGAAGCTAGGGCGTCAAGCACTTGCCCACCCTTAAGCAATATACCCTGTAAACAAGGTGTGATGACAATTAAATCAATCCATGAATGAGAGATAAAAAATAAATGCTATTATGTACATAAAGAAACCTATGCCAGCAACATATTAACTAACTGATCATGGCAAGTAATTGACTTGTACCTTTCTTGCACATGAACTAATAGCAATAGCGTATGCTAATGGAGCTACTGCCAAGGCACATGGTGATGCAGCCACCATTAGTCCCAATGCTCTGTAGATTGATCCTCTGCAGACTGCACTAGCAACCAAATATTAGATAGGGTGCATTCTAACCCAAATCAGAATATTTGGATTCTTTTTTGTTGGGGGATTCTTAAGTGGGATTTCATAGTGAGGAAGGATTGCATGATCCTTGTCTAAATTGTCATTTTCTTGTCAGGGAGAGAGTGTGCAGTGCCTTAGGAAGTGGATAAGTAAAATATTATGGAGGGAATTCAAAATAACCACCCATTAGATGTCATTTTTAAAAGAAAAAGCTTTTGTATTGAAAGTTGAAACCAAAATACTTTATACATAAAAAAAGCATTTTAAAATGGATTTTAAACTCTTCCTCACGGCGAAATCCCTTGTTTAACCTTAGAGATCTAGCAAAGACCAGATTTAAGAAATTGGAAAGAGCAAGAGAAAGTTTCCCATAAGCTGCTCTGTACAGAGTGAATTTTTGGGTAATAAAACTTTACATTTTATCTAAAAAAGAGTTTCCTAAAACATTGAATTAAAGAATCTGATCAGATGATGCAAGTGGCCAAGAGGCAAACATAAGTAGGAAGCATTATCAGTTTTAAACACTACTATACTAAAATTCATACATGTTAGCAGGAGGCCTTTGTGCGGCAAGGTAAATTGGCCATCCAACATGGCTAAAAGGACAGCTGGTTCAACATAATCCAAAACAACAAACAAAGATAATCATTGCTTGAAAGTAACACTTGTTTTTTGAAATTACCTGGTGTGCCAACGTATGGCCACTTAAAAAGAAATGGTCCAATGAGGGCAATTGTGACTGACAAAACTACAACCACTTTGCTGTAACGTTCACCAAATTCATCCAGCCACCTCTGAAGCTTTGGTTTATTCAATTGTGCTTCTTCAGTCAACTGAACAATCCTGCTAAGAGTTGACTCTTTCCACATCTTTGTGGCCTGGAGATTTTTTAATAAGAGAAATTTAGGAACAAAGCATAATAAGAGATGTGCATTGACAAAGAGTCAATAAGAAACATCAAGAATTGAGGAAAACAAGTTGTCATTTATATAATATAGAATTTTAAAAGAGAAAAAGAAAGAATCAATTTCTTTCAACATATCTACTTCCATAAAGATTCAACCATCTTAGAAAAGATAAACACACCTTAACAATCATTCTACCATCCAAATTCCTAGCTCCACCAGGAATCTTGTCTCCAACTTTTGCCTCTAATGGTTTGACTTCCCCAGTCAAGTGCTCTATGGTTATTGTGGCACTACCTTGACAGACTTCACAATCCACAGGTACAGCCTGAAAGTAATAGCAGCTTGCATTACACACCAAAATTTTATTCAAGATTTTTGAAAAATCCAAAAAAAAAAAAAAAAAAAAAAA